GACCAGTGCCTAGAGAAGGACATCATGCTTGGTAAAGTGTAGAGTCAGTGAAAAAGAGCAAGACTTCCAACGAGATGCATTGGCACAGTGGCAGCAGCAATGGACTCAAGCATCCTAACAATTGTGAGGACGGTGCAGAATCTCGCAGTGTTTCCTTCTGTTGTGCATCGGGTTGCTGTGAGTCGGAACCAATTCGATGGCATCTAGCAACAACATAAGAAACCTGTTTAGTGCAAAGATTGGTGTTTCGAACTCACCAGCACTGTCTACAGGAGAAAGACCTGATGATGTATTTCCTTAAAGATTACAGAAAAGAAAATTTTATGATGATACCTCCATGCTTAACAAATGTTGTTGTTGTATGCTATTGAGTTGGTTCTGACTCATAATGACCTGTATAGGGCTTCCAGGAGCTGCTGGATTTGAATTGCTGACCTTGAGGTTAGTGTGGTATCAATCCAGTGCTTACCCTACAGTTCTACACTACAGCTTAACAAATGCTAAGTAGAAAATAAAATAGGGGAAGGAAAATTGGGTGATGGGGATTTGTACACTGACTTGTCAAGGAAGCCACTCTGATAAGGTGAAAACTGAACAGAGACCTAAAAAAAGTGAGAAATGAGGTATTATAAAAACCTGGAAGAGAATTTCAGGCAGAGGTAACATCTGAAACAGTATAAAAAGTCTATTAATATGAAAAAGCTAGTTTAAAAAAAAAATTTTTTTTTTTAAAGCTTTTATTGTGCATTGACCCCCAGTGAGATGGATTGGCAAAGTGGCAGAATCAATGTGCTCAAGTGTGGCAAAATTTGAGGTTGGCCCAGGACTGGGCAGTGTTTCATTCTGTTGGAACTCATAGGGTCGCTATGGGTCAGTACTGACTCAATGGCAGCTAACAACAAATTGAATCATAAGAATCTTAGCCCCATTTCCTTTCACCATACCTGTCTAGACAAGATGAAAGCTATTCAGTGGGGATTATACCTTCTGTACTCTGAAATTGAACTCCCTCTTGAAAACCTGTAAGCCAGCCACTTCATGCCTTTATAGCCCCCTATTTCAGGTAGACAATGTCTAAGTTGCCCATCCCTATCAACCCTGTGTATAGAGGGGATATGTTTGATTTTTGATGCGAAGACTCCTTTCCTCTTGGTATGTATTTTGAACTACTACATCCATAAGTAAGGAGTTCTGGTAGTGTAGTGGTTACGAATCGGGCTGCTAACCTCAAGGTCAGCAGTTTGAAACTACCAGCCGTTCTGCAGGAGAAAGATGAGGCTTTCTGCTCCCATAGAGATTTACAACCTTGGATCCCTTGTGCAGGGTCACTATGAGTTGGAACTGACTCCACAGTACTTAACAACAACAACACATCCATAATTATGGAGTGCTGATGTGGTGCTGTGGGTTAATGCACTGGACTGCAAAGTTGGTTTGAGCCACAATGTTGGCAGTTTAAGCTCACCAGTCACTCCTTGGAAACCCTTTACAGGGTCGCTATGGGTCGGAACCAAATTGACAGTACTTAACCACAATAACAACAATATCCATAAATACAGGTCAAGTGCATCAAATTGTAGCAATTTACACTTGTTTCCTTTATCAAATTTCTCTATCTTCTTCTATTTGAGTTCTGATCATCAAGCCATCGAAACTAAGTCAAATGTGTACTATCTGCAAGTTTGGGCATTCTTGTGCTTCTCCCCTCACTTCCTGTCAGCTGGACGCTTCACTCTTGGCTCTAGCCCTCTGTGACTATGTCCTTGTCCATGGGTCTAGGAGTCCTCAGGTTTCACAAGTGCTCCTGAAGCTTCTCTTTCCTTATTAAGCCTCTCCTAATTCTCAACTTACACTGACCTCAAGCTCCCCTGAACTTCTACAACACAATTTAACTTGTGATTTAACACAACTAAATGCTATTGCCTTGTTTCTGGGCAGTTAGTCTAATCTCCTTTACTGGACTGTAAACTTAAAAACAAGGATCATACTTTATGTTATTTCTGACCCCAACCCCTCCCTCTCACATCTACTCTGTATGTCCTGTTGTTGTTGTTAAGTGCCCATAGTGATCCTGTGTAGGGTTTTCAAGGAGTGGCTGGTGAGCTTGAACCACCAACCTTGTGGCTCAAACCGACTTTGCAGTCTAGCACATTAACTCACAGCACCACACCAGGACTCCTGTGTATGCCCTACTATTTGTTATATAATCTGTAAAGGTATTAGATTTCTCAAATGACAATCACTTGCAGTTTAAAGTTGCAATCCTTGACAAGATGTGCTAGGTGTGGTATGAAAAAGCTAAAAGGATTTAATATTTCCATTTGCACTGTAGCCATTCACTTTTGGACTTACAGAAGCTTATTTCAAGGAGAAAAATAGAACAAATGAGATATATTAAAAGACTTTATTCACAATAGAGAAATTTTACAAATATAGCTTTTAAAAATTATGTCTTAATCTATTGTGTATCTCATAACATTAGAGATTTATATAAAGTTGGAAATGAGAAAATGGATTTATGTACAAATAAAAAATAATCAATATCAAGAATGAGTAATACATGTGAAGAAGTGAAGACAAACATCATTGGGATATTTAAATTGCCGTACAACTTATATGTGTGATATTAATTGCACAAAGTATATAAAAAACATATTGCATAAACACAAAATTAAGTGCTATTTTAATTATTCACCCTCCAGGATGTGAATATATATGTAAACTTAATGGCACAATTTTGCTGGAAATAAACAAAAGACAGTATCTACCTAACAATTTCATTTGCTTAAAATAATTAATATAAAATATGACTAATTAAATCATATCACCATATTATTAATCTCTTGTTTACATTTTTTTGGAAATTATATTAAAAGAATCCAAGTTCTAGAATTGAAAAAAAAAAAAACTTTATTGTTCCCATTGGTAGAGCAATGTGTAGTACAATCTTCTTGTCTACTTATACCAGGATACAAATGGTACATTGTAACACAGTGTGTACATACAACCTGATTTTAATACTGCATCTGCTGCAGAAATCCATGTCAGCTTTGCGCTTTTTAAAATCAAACTGAAAAGCTAAGAAAATAATTTAAGTTACTAGTCAAGGATGTTTATATGAAAATTATAATCTAAGTATATATGGCCCACTTTTGGCAATTATTTTTAAAGTCCTAGATAAAATGAACTCTTTCTAGGCAATGGTTTGATTAGGTGAGCTGGAAACATGGGTGGGAGAAGTTATTCTGGGTCACAGAGACACATTAACAAAGCAATCATGATGTACTGAAGAATATTTTCATTTATTAAATTTACAAAATTATTCTTTGACATATACCCCATGAACGATATTGTGAAAAAAAAAAAAGAAAAAAAAAGCAACTCGCATAAATTGGTCCTTTCAGACAAAGGCAGTCTTTTAAAGTACTTTATAGCATAAACTATTAAGTCTATTGAGACCTAAGAAAACTATAATTGCCTTTCAAAAGTATTAGACTGAACCATATAAAATTGTTGCTATTTGACAGTTTATAAACTATAAACATGGCAATTTCATGTGGTTCTGCCTAATCCATGGAGTTGTACTGACCTGCTTAACCACTACATGTTGAAAATTTTGGTGGTCCAAAGTCTACATTTAACTTAGTATGCATCATCATATTAGCCCTTGTATGGAAATACTAGTGGGTCATCAAAAAAGAGGAAGACATCTAACAAGATGGAATGACACAGTGGCTGCACTAATGAGCTCAAACAACAGAGATTGTGAGAATGGTGCAGGGCCCGGCAGTGTTTACTTCTGTTGTGCAGAGGATCACTGTGAGTCACAATTGACTTGTGGACACCAAACAGCACGGAAATGTACATAAAACATGAGCCAGTAGGGCAGGAAAACACAAGCTGTTAACTAATCTGAGTAGCCCTGGTGCCATAATGGTTAAAGCACTAGGCTGCCAACCAAAGGGTCAGTGGTTCGAACCCACCAGTTGCTCTGTGGGAGAAAAATGCGGCAGTCTGCTTCCAAAGATTTATAAACTTGGGAGCCCTATGAGGCAGTTCTACTCTGTCCTATAGCATTGCTATGAGTTGGAACAGACTTGCTAACAATGGGTTGCCTTCTGTTTTTTTTTTTTCTCAAAAAAATTTGGTAACAAATTTATTCTTGGGATAACAGTTAATTCCTCAAAACTTAATGTTTTGAAGATCATAGATTAGTTTGATATGCTGTAGGGTTGCAGGAGGATGGGTAACCATAGCTATATGTTGTTCCTAATCTGGGATCTCTGCATTGAGTTTAATGATTACTATGTTCTTATAGGTTATGTATACAGGCATAGTATACCCTATATACCGCACAGGGTCTCTAAGAGTAGGAACAGACTCAATGGTACTTAACAACAGCAACAATGTATTCTTATTTGGCTAAAGTGTGTTAGATTTTCCTCAACTGACCATGGATAGATAAAATGGCAAAATTTATTTTAGAGTCAAATGTTGTTTGCATAAATTAAAATGAAATAATTTACTGTATTTTAGAAAAGTCCCTTTTCAGATCTGAACTACACAGAATGCTTTCTTTTTCAGAAGAAAAAAAGATTAAGATAAAACACAAATAAACTAAAAGCCAGTTGAACTCATGCCCTTTCTTTAGAGAAACCCAATTTCTTTATCTACTTAATTAAAAGCAAGGATGAACACACCAAAAAAATTACATTATTTCTTTTTTAAAAACATAATTCAGTAGTAGCAGAGGTCTGCAAAACTCATGAGTTCATTTCACTGTGTAGTAGGGAATAGAAGAAATTAACCAATATATGATTGAGAGATTACACAGGACATTTAAAATAAAATCTGAGAACAAAGTCATGGATTCCTGGTGAGGTGCTGTAGGATCAGCATTGGAATTCAAACCACAAGGTCGATAGTTCAAATCCACCAGTTGCTCCTGGGAGACCCTATACTGGGTTGCTATATGAGTTGGAACTGACTCGATGGTACTTAACAACAATATAATGAATCAACAAAAATATACTTCAGTTTGAATGAAATGAGGTCAATATGAGATGATCCTTTTGGGATGATTTCCTAATTTGAATTACAATGACAGTGAAGATTTTAGAAGATATTCTATCAAACAATGATAGACCCGCATAAGAAGGTGGCTGTCACAGTTATAAGATCTGTCTCTGGTGGATAGACAAACCAGGTTAACATGAACTTAAAAAGAAAAACGCTTTTTTAATACTTAATTTATTAATATGGCTTTTTGCAACATGGCAAAACATTACAGCTTAAAGCAGACATCATCTCCTCATAGAGGAGGAAAAAGTTTTGCAGTCAAATCAAAACTGTAATTAAGAGGTCATTGGTATACCATCCTATTCAGTATAATAAAAACGATACTATGACTTCATGAACTCCAGAGATAATAGACTACTTAAAACAGAAAAACCCTGTGGCTCCACTGGGGAAATAATGAGAAATTTAGGTCCATCTATGCGTCTGATAATAAACCTAAAAGACTGCAAAACAATTTTAAAACTTAGAATAATCACAGACCTATTAATAAAAATGCATTATGTGCCTGAATACCAGAAAAGGAATTATTATAGTACGCAGTGAAGGGAATGGAGCAGAGTAAAATATAAAATGTCTTTTTATTTTTCTTTGACTTCCACTGCCATTTTATCCATACGGAGTATGGGGAGAAGGTGTGCCTCGGTATTAAAGATCCAGTGTTCCAGTGGAAGAAGGTCATCATCAGAAAATATTAAATACAAATACCTGGGGAGAGAAACAAGAGCATCTGAGACCCACGAAACCATGTCAGGCAGTCAAACCACAAAAACACAGCAAAACCACATCCACAGTACCATTCATTCTATGGAGAACCATGAAAATGGGCAAGTATATCAAAGCCCTGAAGGTATACATGCATTGACATGGAGTCAAAGCTACTCTGGGCTTTGGTGTATAAGAATCATACAAAGCAGGGCCAAGTCTATAGCTTCAGTAACAAATGAAGACACACTAGTGATCACTGCCATGTGTGTCGATAGCATCAATAATGACCTCACAGGAGCCAAGTTGTTATTGTTAAGTGCCGTTGAGTCTGCTCTGACTCCTAGTGACCATGGACAGGATTTCCAACGAGTGGCTGGTGGGTTTGAACCTTCAACCTTGTAGTTATCAGTCCAGGGCTTATCCTACAGTGCCATACCAGGAATATATGGGAGAAGCATTGAATTACCACATTAAAACAAACCTGAACACAGGTTCCAGAACAAAGAAAATGTCTCATAATTTGATTCTTTTTTTGTTGTTGATTCCTACTCATAGATAGAAACCCTGTATAGGGTTTCTGAGGAGTGGCTGGTGAGTTTGAATCACTAGTCTTGAAATTAGCAGCCCAATGCTTATCTAGCATGACCACCGTAAGACTCCTGGTACTTTTTAAAAAGCCCTAACCCACAAGAAAGGAGTCCTAGTGTGGTGCTGTGGGTTAATGTGTCAGACTGCAAAGCCATTTGAACTGCAATGTTGGTGATTCAAGCTCACTAGCTGCTCCTTGGAAACCATATAGGGTTGCTATGGTCGGAACCAACTCAACAGCACTTCACAACAACAACAACAACCCACTTAACAACAACAATAAATGGGAAAGCCCCTGGGTGGTGCAAATGATTAAGGTGCTTGACTGCTCACTGAAAGGTTAGGGGTGTGAGTTCATCCAGAAATACCTCAGAAGGAAGCCCTGGTGAGTTTCTGAAAACTTTATTTTAGCTCACACAGAGCTGCCATGATTTGGAGTCAACTCCATGGCAACTATTCAATATTTGGGGTTATATGCTCACAGTGAAGTTATATATAAAGAAAATCTGTCCTCAGCCATATGTTCAGAATATTTATTACTCACTTTAGAGTCTCTGCCAGGAAGAAACTTTGCTGAACATCATCGTAGCTCTCATGTCGAAGGTACACATCCCTTAGGCCTGAATAGCCTCCATTCACTTTGCAGTGATTCTCTAGGGCCTAAATTAGAAAGAGGAGAAGGAAAAATAGTTACATTTAAGCAAACTGATTGATACTAATTTTGATTATTGTTGTTGTTAGGAGCCATTGAGTCGTTCTAATTCATAGCAACCCTATGCTATAAATAAAATACTGCCTGGTTCTGTGACAACTGCACAATTGTTATGTCTGCCACTTCTGTATCAATCCATCTAGTTGGGGGTCCTTCCTGTGTTTTTGCTCACTCTCCATTTTACCAGGCATGATGTTCTTTTCCAGGGACTAGTCCCTTTGGGCAACATGTTCTAAGAATGAGACACAAACTCTCAACCCCTGGCTTCTAAGGGGCATTCTGGCTGTACTTCTTCCAAGACAGATATGTTTGTTCTTCTGGCAGTCCATGATGCTGATCGATATTCTTCACTAGCACCAAAGTTCAAATGTATCAATTCTTCCACTGTCTTCCTATTCATTGTCCAACTTCCACGTACAAATGAGGTGATTTAAAATACCATACATTTTTATTACTAGATTACCAAATTCAAATGAAATACGTATTCAAATGAAATGAGAACTTATAAGGTCATTGTAGGTGAAAAAAACACACAAGACAAACAACAACAACAATGAAATGTAATTGCAAATAAGTATGAAAAGTCAAAGGACAGAGGTAGTCTACACTTCTACATTGAGTTTCAGTGTAAATTTTCACTATTTTTACCATTTCCTCCTATGGTCTAGTACAGCGTTCTTCGAATTACATACCAAAGCTGAAATCTAGTCCACTGCTTATATTTCAAAACATGCTTTATTGGACTTCACCCACATTTATTTGTATATTTATTTACATACTGTGTATGACTGTTTACACACAACAACCACAGCTTTGATTAGTTGTAGAGACTGCACATTCTCCAAGCCTAAAATATGTACTCTCTATGGAGTCCTGGTATGGCTCTGTGGGATAAGCACTGGACTGCTAACCACAAAGTTGGCAGTTCAAACCCATCAGCCACTCCTTGGAAACCCTATACAGGGTTAGTATGAGTCAGAACTGACTTGATGACACTTAACAACAACAACAACATCACATACAGGAAAAGTTTGCTGAGCCTTGGTCTAGAGATATTGTGAACATCAATTGAGATTATAAGCCCCTGGCTAAGAAAGTTCACTACAGTGAAAATAGCTGCTGCTATAGTCAGAACATAGAGTTCTGGTGTGGTGCTGTGGGCTAATGTGCCAGACTGTAAAGCCAGCCGTTTGAACTGCAAGGTTGACAGTTCCCAAGTTCACTAGCCACTCCTATGGATCAGAACTGACTTGACGGCACTTCACAACAATAACAACATAGTCAGAACATACTACTTAAAAATTTGTTGTGGGATACTAAATAGCGGTGTTACTGACATTGCTAAACGAAGCACACAGAAAGAAATGAGAAAAATGTGGCTGGTATTTAGTCCTCAAATACACTTTTCTTCAGTCTGGGTTAGATGCAGTTGGCATGACTCTACTGGCTGCAACTGAGGGAAAGAAGTGATTCTACATTTCTAGTTGTCTAAATATAATGAGTATTTGGGAAGGAAACAGGTTGGGGAGTATGGAGATGACATTTAGGAAGCAAGCTAAAACTAACTTGTCTGCCCCTTTGTCAGCTGCCACTGGGCTGTTTGTATTTGGAAACTACATTAGCTACTCTGCTATCGAGCAAGCAGATTCATCTCTAGGGAAGTTAGTTTGCACACTAACATTCTGCAAACGCTATGAATCATGTGATCAAATAAAAATTCTTACTGTAAAAAGCCTGCCATCTGAAATATGGATTTAAATTCAGAAGAATGTGGAGAAAAATAATAAGGCTTAAGACTAAATTCCTAATTGTTATGGACCATTGAGTTGATACAGACTCATTCATAGAGATCCTATGCACAACAGATGAAATACTGCCCAATCCTGAGCCAACTTCACGATCGTTGTTATGTTTGAGAACATTGATGCTGTCACTGTGGCAATTCATCTCACTGGGGGGTCTTCTTCTCCAAGTCTCCACTTTACCAAAGATGATATCCAAACATGACATCCTTCTCCAGTTACTGGTCCCTCCTGACAATATGTTCGAAGTATGAAAGATGAAATCTGGCCATCCTGGTCTCCAAGGATCCTTCTGGATGCACTTCTTCCAAAATAGATTGGTTTGTTCTTTTGGCAGTCCATGGAACTTTCAATATTCCCATCCAACACCATAACTCAAATGTATCAATTCTTCTATGGTGTTCCTTATTCACTATTCAATTTTCACGTGCATATGAGGTTACTGAAAATACCATGGCTTGCATCAGGAGCACCTTAGTACTCAAACTGACATCTTTGCTCTTTAACACTTTAAAGAGGTCTTGTGCAGCACATTTGCCAGATGCAGTACGTTGTTTGATTTCTTGACTGCTGCTTCCATGAGTGTTGGTGGTTGATTTCAGCAAAATGAAGTCTTTGACAACTTCAATCTTTTCTCCATTTATAAGGGTGTTATTTATTGGTCCAGTGGTGAGGATTTCTGTTTTCTTTACATTGAGGTGCAACCCTTAATAAAGGCTGTGGCCTTTGATCTTTATCAATAAACATTTTAGGTCCTCTTGGCTTTCAACAAGCAAGATTGTAACATCTGCATATCACAGGTTACTGAGTCTTTCTTCAATCCTGATGCCACATATTTCTTCATATAATCTAACTTCTTTGATTATTTGTTCAGCATACAGATTGAATAGGTATGGTGAAAGAATACAACCCTGTTGCACACCTTTCCTAATTTTAACCCTTTAGTGTTTCCTTGTTCTGTTCAAACAACTGCCTCTTGGTCTAAGTACATGTTCCTCATGAGCACAATTAAGTGTTCCGGAATACTCATACTTCACAAAGTTGTCCATAGTTTGTCATGATCCACACAATCAAAAGCCTTTGTGTAGTCAGTAAAACACATTTAAACATCTTTCTGGTATTCTCTGCTTTCAGCCAAGATCCATCGGACATCAGCCATGGTATCCATCATTCTGAATCTGGCTTGAACCTCTGGAAGTTCTCTGTCAATGCATGCTTGCAAACATTTTTGGATTACCTTTACTAAAACTTTACTTGCATGGGATATTAATGATACTGTCTGATGATTTCCGCATTCCATTGGGTCACCTCTCTTAGGAATGGGCATAAACACAGATCTCTTCCAGTCAGTTGGCCAGATAGTTGTCTTCCAAATTTCTTGTCCTACACAAGCAAGTGCCTCCAGTGCCACCTCACTTTCTTGAAATATTTCAATTTGTATTCCATCAATTCCTGGTGCCTTGTTCTTTACCAGTGACTTCCTCAATTGGCTCTTGATTATATGCTACCTCTTGAAATGGTTAAATATTGACCATTTCTTTTTGGTACAGTGACTCTGCGTATTCCTTCCATCTTCTTTTGATTCTTTCTTCATCATTCAACATTTTGCCAATGTTGTTGTTAAGTGCTGTCGAGTCAGTTCTGACCCATATTGACTCTGTAGAGGGTTTCCGAGGAGCAGCTAATGAGCTTGAACTGCCAACCTTGCAGTTCAAATGGCTTTGCAGTCTGATGCATTAACCCACAGTGCCACACCAGGACTCCAAAGAATCCTTTAATACCCCAAGTCAAGGTTTGAATTTTTTCTTTAGTTCCCTCAGCTTGAGAAATGCTGAGTGTGTTCTTTTCTTTTGGTTTTCTAACTCCAGGTTCTTTGCACATTTTGACTTCGTCTTCTCGAGCTGACCTTTGAAATTTTCTCTTTAGCTCTTGTACCTGTTCATTTCTTCCATTTGCTTTAGCATCTCTACCCTGGAGATCAAGTTTCAGCGTCTCTTCTGACATCCTTCATGGTCTTTTCTTTCTTTCTTCTCAATGACCTTTGTTTTCTTCTGTATGATGTTCTTGATGTCATCCCATAACTCTTCTGGTCTTCGATCCTTAGTGTCTAATACATCAAATCTGATGATCTCTAAATTCAGGTAGGATATATTCAAGGTCATATTTTGGCTCTCATGGACTTGTTTCCATCTTCAGCTTCAGCCTGAATTTGTATATGAGCAATTTTTGGTCTGTTCCACAGTCTACTCTTGGCCTTGTCTTGGCTTTTCCACCGTCTTTTTACACAGATGTTGTCAATTTGATTTCTGTGTCTTTCATCTGGTGACAACACAGATGTTGTCAATTTGATTTCTGTGTCTTTCATCTGGTGACAACACAGATGTTGTCAATTTGATTCTGTGTCTTTCATATGTACCTTTTATGCTGTTTAAAAAGGTATTTG